ATATGACCATTTTTTTCCTGACCCCACAAGTGGTAGTCAGATCAATTCCCTGGATGAACACCTTTCTATACTATCATTTAGAAATGATAACTGTGAATCACAATATTTATAAGAAAAGTGACCTTGGTGCCTCACTTTATATTGATCAACATTACATTTCATCTGCTCTGTAAAGGAAACCAGGGTTGTCAGTCCGGTTTTTATGGGCTACTGATGAAATTTTATGGATAGTTAAAACATTTTCTTACAGTAATATTACCATAGGCAAATAATTCTAAACTGCCCACAGAAATAAGATGGTCTCAGCATTTTACATTTCGTTATATAACTTTATACAATTTATGACTTTGGTAATGATATTGTATATTAACTTGTGAATATTATGTTCGGCATGCACACATTTTTTATCTTTAATGTGACACTAGTGTGTGGATAGATGATCCTCAAATCATCCTTGAGTTGGTGCTGACACTGTCCTTCCTTCTGGAGGGTGACTACTTTTGTTCCCCATGATCCCTGTGTTTGTTGTAAAGTAGCCACCACTCCAAGCTCACACCTGTGATGCACTACAATCTCAATACAAATTAGTAAACCAAACGTGAGATTGTAGTCCATTGCCGGATCGAGATTGGAGCGGTGACTACTTTACAACATGCACAGGGACCATGGGGAACAAAAGTAGCCACCCTCTAGAAGGATCAGCACCAATTCAGAGATGATTTGAGGATCTACAGCTGAGTGCCACACAAATAAGATACATTTTTGTTAATAGTTAAGGTACTTGAATGAATTTTTAAGATTTAACTTCTGAGTTTAGTGTCACTTTAAATACGAACAAAAGCTACGTAAGGCACTTGTGCAGGTAAAAACTATAATTCTATTATTATATTGTTCTGTACAAAAATATTACAAGAAAACTATTAAGCAGAGAACATTGTCTTATTTTTACTAGCTGGAATGAACTCCCACACACTCCGCAGGGTAATCAAAACTGAAGGTAAAAAGTAATTTAGTCTCTAGGTTACCAATGGTCAGATCAGTATCTAGCCCATTTTGCTACATTCCAAGAAAGAAAAATTAAAGCACAATTTTGTGTTAGTTTTAGATAAAGAAGGGACAAGTTAGAGCCGCTGTCAAGCAGATATTGCTATGTGTCACTGCTAGTTAGATTCACCCTCTCTATTTGTCCTAGTGACCATTGTAACCAAGACAGAAACTGATAGGAAATCCAAAATCTTACAGTTGTCACTAAAACAGAAGGAGAGGATTGTTCTCCCAACGGGAACACATAGGGACAACTGTCAAAGAGAGGAATTCTCCTCACTTCGTGGAGTTTTCCTCTAACTGTTTTCATCTCTAGGACAGGAAGTGAAGAGAGATCTCCACATTGGACACAGACAACAAAAATGGTTTTAACTGTTTCCTTCTGTATCTAAAACAAAATAGGGTTTGGCTTTAGGTAGAAGTGAAGTCAAAACATATTTTCGTTTTGGATATAGTAAGGGAGAGTTATAACCCCTGTCACCTTTTTTTCGTCATCTGTGTCCCATTGGAGAGCTTTATTCTCCCTTCCTGTCCAATAGTAACAATAGGAAGTGAGAGGAAATCCCTTCACATTGAGGTAAACCCCTGCTGGTCAGCAGGGTCACCAGAACTAGTGTCCCTATTGGAAGGTTTCCTATCTATCCATGCTCTGAGGACAACCCAAATTTGGGAATTTCTTTCATTTTCACTTTCAGTGGTAAAGGTCACCAGGACAAATAGAGAGGGTGAATCTCCCTAACGGGGACACAGCAATAAAAACCTGACAGCTTTGGATAGAGTGGAGAGGGATTAGAACACCTAAGAAAATTCAGCTGCGCTTTGATCAACTCCCTACTTCCGTATTGTAAAACATTGACAGTGAGGTGGATGTCTATTTCTAGAATGACGTTTTATGTTATGCCAGAGGTAGCCCACTGCACATGCTAATCTCTATGTACTAAACCATCCACAGAAACATTGTTCCAGGCTCAGAGACAGTGTTCCAGGCTCAGTACCTTGTCATCACTGTGATTGACTAATGACATTGGTCATGTGGTACTGTTTAGAGTGCAGTCGTCCCCCCTCCCCCTTCCTTCTTCCTCTTACAAGAGAGAAACCAAATTAAATTGTGAATTTGGAGAATGGATGAATTAATAAGCAGAAGTTACTGATTCATACATTCTGACTGACTAAAATCTTTTTAACCCCTTCAGTGTCCCTCCCCTAAACTACTGATCTCCAGCCCGCCTCTGTATTGTGACCTGTATGATAAGCCTTCACCCCCCTTATCCTGTACATCTGCACCTTATCTCTTCATCTCCATCCTGCTACTGTATGTGACCTGTACATTAACCCCTTCACCTCCTGATCCCTCTGTGTATGACCTAGTGTATTGTAGTATAGTGCGCTCTCGCCCCCAGCGCCAGCACCACGACACAGAGCAGCAGCCGATGACAGGAGGAAGACTTCCGCGTCACATGACGCTGTGTGCTAGATACCGGCTGCTGCTCTGTGTCGTGGTGCTGGCGCTGGGGGCGAGAGCGCACTATACAGAGGTGGGTGATGCCATCTACGGGAATCGGCGGGTCAGAGTAATGGGCGTTTTTTCACGTATGCGCCCCCGACGCATGTTTGCATGCGTGTATGTATGGGTGGGGACTTTTTTTTTAAAAATTGTTTTTTTTATTCTTTTTTATGTGTAACTTTAATTTTTTGGGGGGGAAACTTTAATTTTTTTTCCTATTTTTTCCCCACTAAACTTTATTGCTATCATATACAGGGGCTAATAAAACCCCCTATGGGATAGCAAAATATGTGACAGGTCCTCTTTATGGAGACTTCAGGGGTCTCCAAGACCCCTAATGTCACCTAGGACCCCCCAAAAGAAGCTGATGAAGCAGAAATCTGCTCTATCAGCTTCTTTCCAGCTTCTGAAGCTGGAGAGTGACACAAGAATGCGGACATGATGTAAAATAACTCAGTTCCGCATTTTTGCAGCGGAGAGGAGACCGGAGGGAGCTCGTGTACTGATCTCCCTCTGATCCCCTGTGACACAGCCGACATGCTGATCCCGGGCTCGCACCCGGCACAGCGGAGCCCGGGACCAGCGGGACATAAAAATGAAATTGCCAAGGTCACTTGTAACGCAGAGTTCAGTGGTGTAATGCAGAGTACAGAGGTCAGCGGTGCAACACAGAGTGCAGAGATCAGCAGTGTGATGCAGACTACAGAGGACAGCAGTGTGACGCAGGGGGCAGAGGTCAGCGGTCTGACTTATAGGGCAGAGGTCAGTGGCGTGCCGCAGAGTGCAGCATTGTGACGCACAGTGCAGAGATCAGCGGTGTGACGGCCGTTGCACAGGAAGTGATGCTGCTACCTGATTTAGTTCACCATATAAAGACGAGCCTGCCCGTGCTCCAGTGCTGATGGTCTTTTCAGCTTGTGTTCCTGTGTGCTTGTACTGGTTGGATTCCTGTGACCTTCCTGACCTGGTTTGCTTGGACTTTGCTTGGCTATTATGTACTGTAGATAATGATATATTTAAAGTCTTTGCAATTTTTGTTGAGGAACATTATTCTGAAATTGTTCGACAATATTTATATGCAGCTTTTCACAGAATGGTAACCCTCTGCCCATCGTTACTTCTGAGACTCTCCAAGAGGCTCTTTTTATGCACAATCACATTAATGACCTGTTGCCAATTAACCTAATTAGTTCCAGTTCTTCCTTGTAAGTACCACTTACTTTGCCAGTTTTTTGTTGTCCGGTCCCAACTTTTTTGAGATGTGTTGCTGCCATCAATTTCAAAATTACCTTATTTTTTTCTCAATTTAAACATTTGATATGCTTTCTGTTTTCTATTTTCTATTGTGAACAAAATATTGGTTTATAAGATTTGTAATTTATTGTATTCCGTTTTTATGTAGATATTACACAGCGTCCCAACTTTTTTGGAATTGGGGTTGTATGATGTAGGGATAAATAAAAAAATTTCATATATAATTATATACAGTACATTTTCAATTATGTAGATATAGCATATGTTATTCAATAAATATTTGCAATATTTTAACACCACCCTAATTGCCCCCAATACCATTTATTTTCTTGTACTATAGTAAGTATAGTTTGGATATAGGGACCAGTATATATTTTTTATACCTGGGGTGTTATTAGCGGCAAATTCAATGGCTTTTATCTTTTTTTGTACCCACAAATACTATGCCTCATTTATAACCCCTAAACAATGTAGTATCCGTCACTCTCCAAACCATGCTTGTTAGTGATGTAGTATATGCTTCCTGCTTGATAGCACTGTGTGGTGATTGCTTTTACTGTTCTCTCTACTAGTACAAATCTGACTTACCAACTGCAATACACTTGGGTGAGATTTTGAGACTGATTTACTAAAAGAGTGGAAAATCTGCATGCATTATGTGAATATTACTTTAATTATACAATCATGTAAAAGGTAAAATCCTGATTACTTATTTCATCGGCATATGATTGAATAATTGAAGCAAATATTCACACAATTGTGTGGACATCCTCAACTCAACCAATTTATCTCAGCATTTGTTGACAAGGACGTGTGACAAGAGGAAATGCAGATATCCACAAGAGAGAGAAAAACTACAAATGCATATACAGTATATGTATATGATGATGCAAATATGGTACAACGAGCATATGAAATCTGATGGTAACAAAAAAATAAATAATTTTATCTCAAACATTACAACAACAACAAGAGGAATGAACTATAAGTTTCTTTGCTGTCCCCAGGTTACCTGGGAATCATTACTGACACAGGTACCTGATAATCATTTGTATTCAGCTTAAAACTTCCTACACATACAGGCTCTTTAAGGCTTCTATAGAGTTCATTTAGTATGAAGAGAAGGAAAATGTTCTATTTAGCTGTGTAAAAGCGATTTATGATTAAAGCCACAGACATGAGTAATTTGTTTACTTACTGCACTTCCAGGAAGTCCAGGTTCCCCTGGATCACCCTGTAGCAAGAAAGAAAATAACATTCAGTGGTGGGTCATGCATGAGATATTCTATGCATGGGGAGGGGTAAATGTTTGGGGTATTTTTCTAGCAATTTGTTTTTAAAAATATTACTGTTTTGTACATTAGAATTAGCTGCTGACCACTGAGATAGACCGATGACCACATACAGTATAAACACTCTCAGGTTATTATGTAAGCATAGCCAAAAATGTTTTTTTTTTAGTGTTGTTGACACTGTAGGGAAGAATTAAAAAACATTTCAGTGTTCGACTGACATGTATGTTTGTCCTGGTGATCACAAAGACAGAAACTAATGGGAAATCCAACATTTTTCATTTTTCACCAAACCAAGATGTGAGGGTTAATATTTCAATGGGGGCAGCAGGTCCACTGACAGCTTTCAGAGAAGAAAAGTCCTTCATTTTGTAGGGATCTACTCTTACTTTCTATTGCATCTCTAGGACAGGAAATGAAGGGAAATCTTCCTTTTCTTCCAATATGCCTGAAGGCATATTGACACAGACAACAACAAACAAGCTCACATGGGTTTTAACACTTCCCTATTCAATTCAAAACAAAAAGGAACACTTCTTGCTATACATATACCTTCACCATAATTTTCATTTAGTCAAATCAAATCCCCTTAATTCAGTTTGAATCCACACTTGGAAAATATGAGCAATACTTAATTTAATTCCGCATATTGTTTAACATATTTTATATCGGTGAGATCTACTAACTAATAAGTGCATAGCAATTGCCAGTGGTTGCTTTGTTTTAAAAAGTTTGCTGGGCCCTAGACTTTTTGTTGGACTAAGATTCCCAGTTCTCTCATAGAGATTGATCAAACTATGGGGTGTAATAATTAAAGGAGAACTATGAGGTGAGTGCTTTTCACTCACCTCATAGTTCTAGCCGACCTGTGACAATGAGACTGTCACAGGTCGGCTCAGTAGATCGGGAGGTGAGTGAACACATACCGGCGTTCGCTCACCTCTCGATCCTGTCACGGCTCTCTGCCATGAGAGGGAAGGGGCTGGATTCTCCCCACCCCGCTCCGATCCGCCAGCGTTGACTGGCGGAATGGACGGGGGAAGGGGCGGATACAGCTGGCTCTGCCTCTAGGTAGGCAGAGCCAACTGTCAGTCACGCAGCTGGGCGGATCCAGACATAATTGTCGGGATCCTCTTCAGCTGCGGCTTCTTAGTATACCGCGAGCTGCAGCTCGCAGTATAGTGAGCCTAGGGTGATGGGAGGACGCTAGTTTGTGTCCTCCCGTTACCCTAAGGGGAACTATGGGGAAAAGCCTTAACACCATAGTTCTCCTTTAACCACTAGTCATTTGTCATATGATGTTTGAAGAGCAAAAAGAACCATTATTTTTTTCACTGAGAAGAGAGAATTGAAAATTGCAACTATAGTGATTAGTGATGCATTCTATTTGCTCTGTAGAAACCAATATGTAGCCTTCACTATAAGGTGTAATAGAATTATACAGTATGCCACAGCTGAAGCAGTCATACAACAGTATAACCATTGTATTCATAGAACAAGAATACGTATTGGCATCTAAATAGACAAAGCCTGAATGCATGCATTACTCTACTGGTATATTTAGCAAACATTAGTAAGGAGCCTTCTGCAATCTTGAAAGTTGATGTTACTTCTCAAGTTCATTGTATTAAGAAACACAAATTTAGGTAGGTAGATAATATCCTTACTTTTAGGTAGCTAATATCCTTACTTAGGGGCTTTTGTTTATGTGTTACATTGAACATAAACATACCTTGAATTTTCTGTAATAAAATTTGTTTTTACATATTTTCAGTAATAAAATTTTTGGCGCAGTTCACAAAAGCAGATTATTTTTTTTTCATCATAGAAAAGCAATTATTTAAATTCCCTTTATACATTGATCAGTTCATTATACTGCACATACTATATGTTCTTTTTGCTGCACATGCATTTTTTTGATTTTGTTGACTGTGAAAGTCAATATATGAAGAATAAGGCACACGTTATTGCTTCATAGATAGCTACAGTCTTTATACAACTTTCAAATTTAAATGCCTGTATCCTGAAACACATAACAATTACACATCTAAGTGAAATCTATGTCTGTGAAATTAGCATTTTATGAGAAAATTACTGTGACATACTATAATGAATGGAGCCTGAATAACTATTTTATGAATTAAGCCTTTTTAGTGCAAAGAACACCTGTTAAGTGATTGATAAATTTTTTTTTTCTTGGTGGTTTTTGGTGCTTATTGATTGACATAACGGAACAAAGGTGGTGTTTTTTTTCCATTGTTTAGAAAATAATACTTTACCTTTTGTCCTACAGGGCCACGTGCTCCAAATAGTCCCATAGATCCTTTGGAGCCTGCTTCACCTTTCACACCCTGAAAATCAATGAAAAGAATAAGATACCTTATGAAGAGCAATTTAATGGAAATGAATAACATTTTTTTTCCATGTTAAAATGGAAACACAAATAAGATCTAGGGTATATTTGAGCAGAGTGAAAACAATTGCCATCCAGGCAACTGTTCAAAGAATGATAGTGCCCCAGATGGCCGAAAAATGTGTGGCTGACCACCAACTCCCATCAGGTTTATCCTTCATTGCCAAGTCCCTTACACTGGTCAACTAACTTCAGTATTTAGAAAATCATTTAGGTAATGGAAGTCAACAGGTAATGTATCTATCACATGTAAAATGCAACACTAGTCAAGCAGTTAACACAGTTAGCTGTTTTAAAGACAGTTTAGATAAACATATGTTGTAAAGTAACCATTAAAATGAATCATCCTGTTCAACTTTTGTATGTTTTAAAGTCCAAATTCCCTGCTTTATGCCCGAAGGCTTTTCAGAATCACATACTTAGATTTATTTGGGTAAACTGTAATCCAGGTATTGATAAATCTACTCTATGATTCCATAAACTGAGGGGTGGTCTAGGAGTAGCCTATATACCTACATATTAAGTTGAGCTGGCGCAAATATTCAGTCCTGAGATACCTTCTCTGTCTAGATCCATCTAGAAGCAGCTGAATAAACTAACATAACTATACATGCACTTCTCTGGTAATTGCTTCCCATAGGGCACATAACTCAAACTCATTAAATGCCACTGTATAATATTACATTTCCAGGAACACTTATCTCTCCTTATCTCCTCCTCACTACCTTTTTCGGGAACCTCTCATTTTAGCATGGAAAATCATCCCATGTTTAGGTATCATGATTTAGAGACATGCATCTTGTATGTGCCAATCATTTTATTGATTAGCAAACAGTCTTTCCGACTTTGGAAAGTTAATTTCCAGCACCATAGATAGACCTACTGTAAATTCCAAATTGTTACCCTGGCTGCTTTGAGTCTGGTTTAAATGGCATTCCATAATAAATCCATTAATTCTATGCCAGACCAACATTCAGCTTGTTCTGTTTACAAACTATTTTTTTCAAATTACTGCTTAAAGGAGAACTATGGGGTTAAGGCTGTTCCCCATAGTTCTCCTTAGGATAACGGGAGGACACAAACTAGCGTCCTCCCGTCACCCTAGGCTCAGTATACCGCAAGCTGCAGCTCGCGGTATACTGAGACGCCGCAGTGGAAAAAATAATGGTTCTTTTTGCTCTTCAAACGTCATATGACAAATGGCTAGTGGTTAAAGGAGAACTATGGGGTTAAGGATTTTCCCCATAGTTCTCCTTAGGGTAACGGGAGGACACAAACTAGCGTCCTCCCATCACCCTATGCTCAGTATACCGGTAGCGAGCTGTAGCTCGCGGTATACTGAGACGCCGCAGTATACCGGTAGCGAGCTGCTGCTCGCAGTATACTAAGACGCCGCAGCTGAAGCAGATCTCGACAATTATGTCTGGATCCGCCCAGCTGCGTGACTGACAGCTGGCTCTGCCTACCTAGAGGCAGAGCTAGCTGTACCCGCCTCCTCCCCGTCCGTTCCGCCAGTCAGCGCTGGTGGATTGGAGCGGGAAGGAGGGAATCCAGCCCCTCCCCTATCACGGCAGAGAGCCGTGACAGGATCGAGAGGTGAGCGAACGCCAGTATGTGTGCGCTCCCCTCCCGATCTACTGAGCCGACCTGTGACAGTCTCATTGTCACAGGTCGGCTAGAACTATGAGGTGAGTGAAAAGCACTCACCTCATAGTTCTCCTTTAAAGCCTCTTTCTCAATAATCAATCTCATGAATAAGAATTTTGTTAAGAAAATTATTAATTTGTAAAATGAAAAATTTAGTTAAAAAATTTATGCATCTTAGTTTAATGGCCTTGTGATAACTTCAGAAACCACCAATGTATGATCCCCAGGCAGCCAATCAAATATTGCCAGAACATAGTTTCACAGACCATAAAAAAACGGTTTTCCTCAGTAGGATCCTAGCTTCTTATTTCCAGCTGTATGCATACATGTGGCAGCACAGCAGTGAGCTTTACGTAGTGCTGCCATATATATGCACACAGCCGGCGCTGCATTTTTGCACTGGGAGCATGCTAAATCATGTGCCTCCAGCACTGTAATCATGCCAGATCCATAGCTAGCTCCTTTTGCGCCCAAGGCAAGAACAATAAAAT